CTGGACAGTAGCATATGAACTTTGGCAGAAGATCGTAGGTGGTTTCACCAATGAATGAGTATCCGCTTATTCAGTGACCTTAATAAGCACTTATCTTATAGCGTTGACATTCAAACAGTCAATTTTCTGTTGTCACGAGAGCCAAGAACATATTATTAAGTTTACAGTAAACCCTTGACCTTAATACGGTACGAATTGCTTGCGTCTGCCAATGGTGTTTACCGCGTGGATGCTTTCGAGCAGGCGGATTCGAGGCGACTAATGCTTTCCAACCGGAAGTTCCTGTTGCTGTATGGTAGTGGTGGTGCAGTCCGATAGCAGCGAAGACAACGAGGCGTACGCAGAAGAGGGTAATCGCGTGCGGATGGCGAAGAGGTGAGTCAGAGGATTTGATTTACGTTCAGCGCTATAAGAGTGCATGCGCCACGTTCGGCAAAGGTGGTGACGTAAGGAGCCGATCAGCCGCTTAAGACTACCGTGTTTCTGCAAACGGAAGCGCGGCGGAGATGGCGAGTGACGGAGGAAAAAACGAGGAGAGGGGAGGGCGTCAAAAACGTCGAACGGATGAACGTACTGTCCAAGACACAACGGTAGCACACAAGTTGCTGAACATATACCATAATGACAAAAGTAATAGATGACGGGGTCTGGATCAGATTCCTGACGGTGGAAAAGAAAAGCCGCGCCAGCAAAACTGACCATATTCACCAAACGGCTGGATACGGCTGGCATAACTCGGTATGAAAAGGAGAAAAAATGTGATGATCGGTGAGCATAGGTTTGTCGAATCGTTCCATGAAGCCTTCCTCATTACTGAGGAAAATATGTAGAGTATAAGGCCGAACACTGTGCGATGTAACCTGCATCGTTTCCGTGACTCGCATTTCTATGCAAAAGGACGAAAAGCGAGTGAAACAGCCGCCGCCATTTAAACCAGAGTCCTCCAGCTGCGACTGCGGCAATTTGACTCTCGATAACTAACTATTATTATTACGTACACGAATGTAACCCACGAATCTCTGAACTTCGTACTCAAAATATGTACATACTCAGTTGAAAAAATCAGGCCCATTTGATTGATGCATTTTTTCCAGCTTATTAAATTCTGAATATGTACAGTTATAGCTGTTAAACGGAAAACTCATGGTTGCTGACTCCAGTCAACGATAGCGACAGATGAGGGTCGGTAAAAGTTCCATTTTCAAGCCATAAAAGTTACTTAGTTGTTGACAGGCACTCGCGATGTCCAAAGGAAATAAGTTGGAGTGTCACGAATAGTTCCTCTGTGGTCATGAGAATCACCGTGCATGCACTGTAACTAATCGCATGTACGATAGTTACAGTTTTAATAGAAACCGTGTAATATATTGCTATACTCGATATGGCGTCAAGGACTGGGTGCAGACATGTATTGCTAAGAGACATAAGCATGTTTCCAGGTTCGTGAGGCGAAACGAAATGAAGGAGTTTACTAATCTTTGATGGAACGCAAGCGATGTTCACACTCCGGTCACGTGACTTTTCCAAGAAATTGGCCAATTAGACAATGACAATCCATTGTGATCAAGCAAACCATCTTCCGATCTGCAAAACCGAATTACTTCAAGGCTTGGCTGGCATCTTTATTTGAACGGTATGTTGCTGGAATGTCAGCGAAAGTGATTGCTTGAAGTAGTCGAAACTCTTTCTTGCAGACAAACGCCGTGTGCTGTACAAAGGAATGAGAGAAGAAAAAAATGGAAGTGAAATGAGAAGTTCATTTCACACCGAAAGTCACAAATGTAGAACTGATAAATGGGGGAGGGAAGAGAGATTTAGAGGCCTGACTGTTTCGCTGTGAAGGCGCTAACTTGAAATCATCAGGGCTAATTCGTCTCTGCCGGCTACAACACGTTGTGTTGTCCGAAGAAACGAGCAGCACGGCATGGTAAACTAAAACCTCTAGGCGTCATGATTGTGTTTCATTGCATTTGGCTGGAAATTCAGTGAAGGTGCTAGCTCTGGCTACTGGCACAAAAGTCTGTAGATCTAATAGCTGGAAGATTTCAAGGCTTGACGAACATACACATGTACTATATACCGGAACGAGAGAAGAACAAAATGGAATCGACACGGCAAGTTCATTTCTGGTACATGATTGCTATACTTGGCTGAGTCACGTGAGGATATAATTATGTAGTTCCCACTGCTTTTTAGGGGAAACTCATAATCACGTGCGTTTGTCTGTACAATTCGAGACAAATATGGGCGGTCGCAGTGCCCAGGAGAGACTGTTAAACTTGGAGTGAAGGAGGTGTATTCAAGACTCATCATTTATCACTGAGAAAAGGAGTGAATACCAAAGCAAGCGTAATGTAGCAGCAATCTACAGATGCGGATGGTTGCATGTAATCAATCAGCATGATGACTGGCTGACTAGGACACGGTTACAGGCCCTCTCATTCAGAGAAGGCGGATGAACGCAG